AAAAATCATGGAATGACATATATTTATCAATTATTTGTTTATTAATTTATATATAAAGAGTAAGATCAATGAAAATTCATTTAAAATTCAAATATCATTCATTCATTAGTTGAATGTTAATATATGTATTGTTAATAAAAATCCAAATTTGGTAGTTAGATTTATTGTTTTATGCAAATTATCAAATTAAAAATCATCTATTCCTTCCATTATTACTATCTAGTAGCACAAGGTTTCTTCTTTCAGAAATATAAGGTATAATTGAAAATTTTTGTTTCCATTTATTTCTTCAACAATTTGATTTAGAGTGTAAAACATTTATAAGCTAATGAGAATATCACATGTCATGTGAGTGAGGACATGAAATTTTTTCTTATATATATATATATATATATATATATATATATAACAAAAACCTCTATGTATATGTTAAATTATTATTTTTTATTTCATAATTATTATTTTTATTATTTAATATATAAAATATAAAAAATATATACTTATTTTCTAAATTAATTTTTTTAATAAAAAATTTTGTGATTATATATAGGTTTAAACATAGTAGAATATAAAACTTATATACATATAAACTTATATATAATTTTTGGTTAGAGGTGGATTTGTAGCATTCTTTTATGCAAATTATTTTATTCTTAGGTAATAAAATTTCTACATTACATTATTCTTCATCCTTGTATTCAAATGGTATAACGTGATCTATTAGTATTAAATTTTAATAATAAAAATATAAAATATTTTTAGATATTCAAATACATAGGATCCAAATATCTAAGATATTATTTTGAAGCAGTTAATAATAACTTTTTTAGAATCTACTCCAAAAATGACATTATTTTATGAAAATGGTGGAAGATGTGCATGTTTTAATATGGAATATATCTTAGATTCAACTAGCCACAAAGAATTCTTTGTTGTCAAAATAGAGAGAATTTGCCTCAAAAAAGTATTGAGCTTCTAACCATTATTAATTGCTCAACTAAGTCTTAAGATAGAAAACTACCGAGTTTATATATAAAATTGCCTATGTAGATGCAATTATATTAAAACATAAGGACTAAGTACCAAAGATCATGCAAAATGTGATAAAAACATTTTAAAACCTTATATATTCATAAGATTAAAATTTTCCAAACTTCAACAGATTATATCTCATAATTGGACTATCTAAACAAAGTAAAATTATACATAAAGCATTGATGTACTTCAAAAAACTACCACAATAAATTTCAATTGCAAATTTGTTACGGATCTTGAGATATTACCAAAATCCTAATAGTAGCTTCAAACTCTTATTGACATACACTTGCATGAAATTTTCTTCATATCTTACAAGTTAAGTATTTAAATACCATAAAAATTTGATATACACTTTTTTAACCTAATAACCCATACCTTCAAAAAATTTGAGCCAAAAATTTGTTTAGAAACTCAAGATATGGCTCTAACCATTACTATCAACAAAATGAGTTCTTTATTGCCTTTGAATTACATGTGTTGTGTTTAATATTCTATAACTCCTTCATATAAATTCCAAATGTAAAAATACTTTTGCAAAAGACATAGGTCTTAAAAATCAACCCTATGGCTACACCTCATGAACTCCAAAAGTTGTCGTTAAACTCCATGTATCTTCAAAGGAGTGATAATATGTCTTAAAAAGAGACCTTAACTTCAAGCGGGTGTAACTTCATTATCCTAATTCCAAACCCTTTAAAATTTGTAGTCAAATTGTAGCCCAAATCCTAAATCTTATAATACTTGCTTGTAATTCTCAAATTCTCTTTTTGAAGTTGCCAAAACCCTTGTTATAGTCGCAGATAGCCTCTTGAGAGCTTGTTGGGCATGACTTTTGACCGATAGGAATGAAGATCTTCACTCCTTACCTTCATCTATCCATATCTTGCTTTCATTCTTCCAAATATGCTTTTTAGAGTTTATGATCTTTATCTTTGAATCTCAATCTTCTCTTTAAAATTTATACTAAATATCCAAATTTTATATAATTTAAACATTGTAATCAAAATAGATAAACATCATAATAAATTTTCTTACATCAACTCTCTTTAAATTAATCTACTAATCACTCTAATATACATCAATACTAATAAATATATTTTATGTTTTAGTTAATTTTTTACATACTATAAACAATTATAGTATGATATTGCATTCTTGATGTCTACCACCAATTCCTTCCAAATTTCCTACTCTTAAAGTATATCTTAAATGTGCTGTCAATGACATTGACAATGGAATCTCCATCAAAACTATAAAAAAAAGAACAACATCTTAATCTCCAATTTACATAATTAGTACTACAATTGTATAAGAAGCGGAGTTATAAGTGCAAAGAGTATATTAAATATTAAAGAGGAAGCATAACTAGTGGACTACCTCACACTGATGTATGATGCAAAATATGGCCTCTCTTCCTTTGTTATGAAACTCAAAGTTTATAAAGTTACTAAAGATTAAATGACCCTATTCTATCATGGAAATTCCAATAATAGATGAATGCCATGGTTTTAAATTTGCTATTTGAAGCTTGTTTTGCATGCATCTAATGCCTCCAAATTTGCCAAAGCTCATGCCTTATATTAAGAAACTATGATAACATTATACAACAACTTAGAAATATTGTACAATTTACAATACTACTTGCTTCATTGTATTTAGAATTGCAATGAAATGAGCCCATAAGCAAGTAATTTACCACCTCATACTTTTTTTTGCTTTTCTTTCAAGTTTTATTTTTATTTTTTATTTTTTGAATATTATTTTGTTTTGTTTCAAATATTATTTTGTTTTTGTTTTTATTTTTTATTTTTTTAGTTTGGTTTTACTTTGACTTTTTTCAAGTTCATTTTCATTTATTTTCAATCTAATCACATTGTATACAAAAAGTAGGGTGTTTAAAAAAGAATGGTGGTAAAATTAAGAAAAAAAAATTTAACAGAAGTCATGTAAGACCCATGGTGCCCAACCAATAGGAGTGGTTGTCATGTCTTGTTGCAATGAATACCTCTGATAAGGCCATACCATCTTTTTATATTTTCCGAGCAAATTGTATAGAGAAGTAAAAACCCAAGGCAACTATGTCTATGCAATCCCAAGCTTGGATCACTTCAGATTTGTTCTCAGCATGGATTACTCAATTTGCAGAGTAATGAGTTACATAGGTGGATGGATTTAAGACAATATGTATGTAAAACCTTGAAATATGAGCACCTGTAGGTAATAATACAAAGTATCTCTGCTGCAATAATTTCGGGACCGCACAACTGAAGCTACCTCACATAATACATGCAAACCCCAGAAACGTTCAATGAAAGGTTTGACAGGTGTTCATTCATGATGTGATTAGCAACCAGGACTCTTCCACCTTGTGAAACAAAACCCTAATCTGAATTGAGCATGCAATTGTGTAAGACAACTTCCTCGACTCATACATCAAATTGGTTCATCCACCCCCGCATACTCATCGAACGGTTACAATGGCTCTAGTGTAAAGTTATACATATAAAAATCAATAAGCATCTTCAATGACTCTCATGGCTATAGTCATCACAATCGCAGTATCCGATGCCAAGCCTGGTCCATATCATCATTGTACAATCTCTATCAAGAAATATATTGCTTTGAGATTAATGGACAGTTCCAAAACCCACAGGTTTGGAGGATACACCAAAACCTCTTTATATTCATACAGACATATACATATAAAGAGTTTTTTTTTTTTTTTTTTTTTTTTTGAGAATGTTGTATGAATTATAAGATAAGATTTTTCCATTGGATTTTTTTATTATCAGTCCTAGAGTTTTGTGCAACTGAGCATGATTTGAATTTGGTTGGAAATTCCAATCCTTTAAAGCCAAATATTGTCAACTGAAAAACTAAATATGCTTGTGAATGTTTTTAGTTCCTTCTTCCAATGAGTTGTACAAAAAGAGGCTTAAAGAAATGAATTGCATTTATTTAGTTTTTTTACAAGCAATATCTTTCAAGGTTCCTAGAAAATTCTTATTTTTTTGTCTATCAAAACTTTTGCTTCAATCAACTACAATAAGAAATTTAAATCCACTTGTATCAAAAGACGAAATAAGTAAATAAATATTAGAAATAGTTTTGAAGAATTAATTTTCACTTCCACTCAAAAATCATCTGATTGTATTTTCAAATAAAAACCACTTCGATTTTTGAATTATCTCATGCATTGATGCTTACAATTCGGTTTGTGGTAGACAACTTTGTCATATTTGTGAGTAAATGGCATATTTCATCATCCCTTGGTTAAGTTGGATGCATTAAGGATAACAATCAATACTAATGATCATGCAATGCTGTATTTGTGGTGGCTAATCCCCTCCAGCCAAGATGCAACACCCATAATTTAGTAGTAAATATATTGTTTATTCTACACATTTGTAAGCCCTCTTTAATATGTACATACACATGTATTTTCCTCAAATTCGCAGGTTTAGGAAACAACTTCAAAATAAGTAAACAACACAGTTGGTATGTTAATGATCCTTAACCGTTTTTTGAAAAATTAAAATTAAAATCAAAAAATGTAGTAGTGAGTGTCTATTTTTATTCAAATCAGTTCTTACCCTTGTTAAATGTTTGAGATTTAAATGCTTCACATAAATAAGATACGTATATGTATATTTATTTGATGAAAGTATATTCCCTGGTATGCTCTTTTCTCATTCACCAAACTTGTTACAAAACTGCAAATGGGTTTAGTGCTCAACTTTGCTTAGTCCTCGTAATGTGTAACAAGGTTCAACATTGCAGTTGAAAGTGATCTAATTTTAATGGCCTTTAGATCTAAACATTGGCGGACGCTGTGACGATAACAACAGGCACGAACGCCGTCGAAGCAGTGATGCAAGCAAATCTACAACACCAGCTCACAACTCATAACCAGTCACTTGAGACCGAGCCACCACACAATACTGCAAAGTCCTCAGCTCGCATCAGCACTGTTGACGATAATGTGAGGGAGGTGTTGTGAAAAGGATATCTGCTGCGATACCTCAGTAAGAAGTGAACGAACAATTCAAAAGCACGGTTTGCAGGGCCCCGCCATGGCTGGAGTAGCATGCTGAGGCAGGATCAGGTCGCAATGCAGCGTTACTTTAGCGAGGATGGGTTTGAGTTGCAGACCGCTCGGAGGGTTTGGCAGTGCCACAGTCACCAAGTTCTCTGCAACCTGCCCTGGCCAGCGTCCACTTCGGTGCTGCTGCGGCCTGTTGGGTCTCGCGACCTCGCCTTCGATATTCTCTGTTAATATACAACTCAGGTTCCAAATACTCATTCGATCGGCCTTTCAAACGCAGATCCGAGTCATGATCGCTTCCGAGAGGTTTGCAGGAGCGCATAGCATTGTCTTGTCTGGCTGCTGACAGTGGTGTTGAACCGATTATTTAGATTCCTTCACTTCGAACACCTCATCTACAACATCGAGTTCTGAGACGGTGTCCCATCTACAAATGGCGGAAGCTGTGGCGTTAACCGTCCTGCAACCAATGGTACAAAAACTTCTGTCGGCGATGGTGAAGGAGGTGGCGCGTCCGGAATGGAACCGCAACAAGCACGCGGAGGAGCTGGAGACGTTGCTGATGGAGCTAAAGCCGATGGTGGATAACATTAATCCATCTACCGCTAACCGAGCGGTGGGTGATTGGTTGAAGGGTTTGCGCACGAGGTTAGACTGCTTGGAGCTCCTGCTGCTTGACATGAAGAGGAATCGTTTCACTATTTCTCAGTTCAAAAATTCAAGGAAGCTGGTGAAGGAGAAGGAGCTGCTGAGCAAAATTCTATCACAAGCTTCAGTTGTGGTGTTGGCAGTGACCTCGGTGACTTCTGCGAATGTGACTAGGCTGCGCGAAGAAAACAATGAACGACTAGAGGGGCTACTGCAGATCGCTTGTGCTACCAAACAGGTTCTTGACAAGTCTCAATACGGATACAGAAACCCAGAATGTGTGATGGCTGAGATATCGTCTATCACAAGTGAAGCGGATGCCATCCACTTGACTTCCACACACACTAGAGCTTTGCCAGAAGCCTCCACCTCCACTGACATGCCGCGCGGAGTGGACAGCGAGACGGTGTTTGGAGGAGATGGGAATGTGGAAGAAGCAAAGAAGTTGTTACTGGACCAGAACACGCACATGGTAGGGTTCTGGGCATCAGGGGGGGCCGGGAAGACGCTTGCCGCCCAGCGAGTCTTCGATGACGACGCCATCCGAGCGCACTTCACAGGAGGCTGCTTCTGGTTCACTGTCGGTGGAGACTTGTCGGTGCGGAGCCTCTTTCTAGCCCTCGGAGAGAAGATCACTGGTCCCTCAGAGGTTCGCGAGAACATTCCCATGGAAGATTTGACAGCACAGCTACGTAATGAGCTCAAGGATAAGAAGAACATTCTGGTTGTCCTGGACGATGTCTGGAAAGAAGATGTGCTACGCTTGGTGACATGTGTGGTCCCCTTAAGAGCGGGGTGCAAAATCCTGGTCACCACTCGCATAGAGGAGGTGTTGGACAAAAACCATGTGACGAAGCTCCCATTCGTGTTGCTAGATGAAGAGAACAGCTGGAAGTTGTTCTGCTGGCAAGCGTTTCGAGGGACGTCTCATGTGCCCCCGGAGCTGGAAAAGCTAGCCAAGGACGTGATGGGCGAATGTGGTGGGCTTCCGCTGGCGCTGAAAGTGATTGGCAGTGTGTTTGCAGGGAAAACTGATCGGGGATTCTGGGAGTTGAGTTTGCAGAAGCTGAGGGACGCGGATGTTCTAGACAAAGGTCACGAAACGCAGCTGTTCAATCGACTGAAACTCAGTTTCGATGAGCTTGGAAGTATCGATGGAAGATTGCAGGAATGCTTTCTCTACTTTGCTGCATTTCCAGAGGATTGGAAAGTCGACGTATACGAGGATTTGCTGCCGTTGTGGAGAGCGGAAGAAATTGTGCAGTTGAAGTCTGAGTATGATCCGAAGCTAGAAGCGTGTAGGAAACCTAAAATCTCTGGCAGTACTCAATTTGTCTGGGACGGGTATAGTGACGCTCTCAAGTTAATCGGGAAGTTGACCGGCATGGAGGAGCTGTATCTTGATTTGTGTCTGCGTATTACTTACCTTCCAATTTGATTCACCCCACCAGGTTGCAAATTCTGTATATTTATGGAAGTGAGCATTTGTGGAGAACGGGTCTTTGGGAGGGACTTTCCAAAATGTTCAGAGGAAAATTAGCGGTGCGGAACCTTGTTGCCTTGGTTGGCTTGGAACATTTGAGTGTCTTCTCTGGTATATCCTTGGTAACGGTGCCGTTGCCAGTTGAGTTGCTGACGGCAGCGAAGAGGTTCCAGACGTTGCAGCTGTAGGGAGATTGTTGGCGACTTACAGAGTTTCCAGAGTTGAGTGATGACTAACAGCACTCGGAATGCCTTTGGCTAAAATGAGAGGGGTTGGTTTCTCTTCTAGACTCCTTGTGTTCTCTCTCACTTCTGAAAATCTTCAATATATCGAGTTCAACGTTGGTCTCACTTCCAGCTCTAGATCATCTTCCAAACTTGGTGAGTTTGTGTATCATGAATTTTGATGTTTTGGAGGCTCTACCAACTTCTTTTGGTAGAAAAGATGGCTTTCCAACTCTTGTGAACTTTAACTTAGGAGAATAAGCAAGACTTGCATGTTTGCTAGAATTGGAGGATGGTGCAATGCCATATCTTAAATATGTTGGTTTACACTCATTGAGGAAGCTTGATGCTCTTTCACATTTACTTGCACAATTTAAGTAGTTACAAACCTTAGAACTAGATGGTTGGGAGAGCCTCAAGAATTTGGAGCATGGGTATGTAAGCTTTGAGAGTTTTTTTAATCTAGTAGAATTGAATGTATTAAATTGTGAATCACACTCTCAATTGCCAAGTAGCCTTGCTTTCTTACCCTACTTTAGATTTCTTCAAATGGATCTTGTTTGTAAAGCTTATATTCCTCCAAAATTAGAAGAAGAAATTTAAAATAAAAAAGTAATAGTAAAAAATAGTTTTGATTAAGAGAATATAAAACATGATATATATATATATATATATATATATATTTATATATGTATATGTTAGATAGATTTATTATACCTAATATATATTGAATAACACATTGAATTGATTGATAAGGTGGTAATATCTTAGTCTTAGTCAATACCATATCACTTTGCATTATATTTTTAACAAATAAGTTATATAAAAGTTTGGCGATTTAAACATATGTATAGGTGGATTTTGTTTGAAACATGTATATTTTATATTATTGGATGTAAAATTATATAATAGATAGAAAAAAATATTATTGGGATTATTTGTGGTTTAATATCTAGCCAATGGATGAAATCCTTTATGACAAATCTTTTTGATTATTTAGAATTTTTAAATTTAAACATGTATTATATGCATAATAAGTTGAATTGGTTATGAAATTTGGAATATAAATAAGAGGTAAAATGAACAAATGATTCACATAAATATATGTATGTGTATACATATATATATATATATATATGAGTATGAATTATACAAATTTAATGAAGAGATTAGAGGTAGGATTAATAAACCAAAATCAAAACATAAGAAATAAAGAATTTAGTTTACAATATCAATCAAATGATAAAACTAATAAGAATTCACAATTGATTATCAAACTATGATAGAAAAAAAATTATATGTATTAGTTTCTAAATTAATATCTTATGTAAGTAAAAGATTTTTTTTTTTCAAAAGAAACAATTTCATCTCAAAGTAAATTAAAAATCTACAAATGTAGTAGTAAATTTATATTTAATATATTTTTATAGGACTCTATAATTTATCTTATGCTTTTATAGACTAATATTTTATTTGAAAATTTGAAGATATATACTTTGTGATCCTTATTTTGTATATATAATAATAATTAATAAGATTATTTCTAAACTTGATCTATTTTAGTAAAATTATATTCTAAAATTATACATTTTATTGCTCTCCAAAAAACTTAAATTTTATAGAATTTAAAATTTTAAAATTTTAAAATAAAAAACTATTTATCAAATTTACCAATTATAATTCAAATATTTTTTTTTTAGAGAAATACAATATCTTTCAATATTCTTCAAAATAAATTTATAAAAAAATATAAAATAATAAATAAAATAAATATTTTATTAATTCGTGTTGAAGTATGGTCAAACCAATTTGATTTTTACTATAAATAAGAATAATAAATAATCTTATAATAATTAAGATATTTACATGATTTTGTATTAAAATTTTTTGCATGATTTGATGCAATTTTTAGATTAGAAATTATATCATTATTTATATTCTCTTAATTTTTAATCTAATTATTGAAGAATTAGTTATATATAATTTTAATTAGCTTTATTCAAAATTAATGGTTGATATTTTGAAAAACAGCCATACATTAGTTTTGTTAAGTAAGTTTTTTGATCTTTGAAACTTGTTTTTAAGAATGTATATATATATATATATATATATGCATATAAATTTTTCCAAAAAATAGGTTAAAAATCTAGCAAGTGCCATTGGCAACTTATATATGTATCCAAAATCACCAATTATAATAGTTGGAAAGCTAAGTTTATGATTAAAATTTTACATACATGCAATCTTAAATTTTTACTAAAATTTCATTAAAGATTTTAAACATATGTTATTGAGTTTTTTAAGAATATTTTCTGGTTTTTTTAAAGATGTAACAATATTTTTAAATTTACAAAAATAAATATGACAATTACTTAGAACCAAATTTAAAATGTGTGTAGGCATCAAACTTAAAACAATTCATTAGGAATTGCAGTAGAAGATTATAATTGAAGCATATTATGATTCAAGCAATTAAAAGTTACAATTTATGTTGTATGAGTCTTAAAGAACCATATCCAATATACTTTTATTTCCATTTCAATTGTATACTATCAACAAAACTTAGCTTCTGCTTTATATTTTTTAGTCAACGAAGTTCTCATAGATGAATGGTACACTATTTGTACAATTCTAATACACTTAGATTTAATTATCAAAAGAAAAAATGAAGAATCCAAGTTTTAGAATTGGTAATAAGAAATAACGATCTAAGATGAACGAAGTGTTTGGAAAATGCATATTAATCTTATCACTTATGGAGCATAATAGTTAGAAATTCGAATTAAATACTAATGAGTGGGACATGATTTTTGTTAGGAAGTATAAACTTATAGAAGTTACATGTAATTTGGAGATTTTTAATACAATTTGACAAACAAACTTAAGAATAGAGAATACTATAAGTACCAAATCAAGAATAAAATATTTCTTCAAATACAACTTCCAATATACAATCCATGGTGACAATTTCTAAAACATATACAACCAAAATATTACTATTTATCACTAGTTATTTTTGGAATATATATATATATATATATATTTTCTTTAAATTTATACTAGTAAGCAACTTGAAAATAAGTAAACAAGAGAATTGATATATTGAATTGTCATTTTGAGAAAAAAACTAAAAATCAAAAAATCTAGTAAGTTTCTATTTAATTTAGTTTATAATATTTATAATTTTTTGGGATTTGAAAAATATAAATAAATAACATCTATATGTGTATATATTTGATGAAAATATATTTGTTGATATGCTCTATTCTCATTCATCAAATATCTTACAAAACTACAATTGGCTTTAATAGCCAACTTTACTTATTCTTTGCCTTGCTTATAATATTTAACAAGGTTCAATGTTGAAACAAAAAGTGATTTAATTTTAATGGCCTTTTGATCTAATTATTGACAGATTATATGACATAAACCATAGGCACCATTGCCATCAAAGCAATGATGTAAAGAAATCTATAATATCAAGTCATAATTCAAAATCACCAATAATCTATGACATTTTGTAATCACTTGATACCAAGCCATGATAGAATATTGTAAAATCCACAACTCACATTAACAAAGTTGAAAATGTTTTGAAGTTGGTATTGTAAGAATGATATTTGATACAATATCTTTGTAAGAAGTGAAGGAATGATTTAAAAGTATCATTTAGAAGGCCCCGTCTTGGCTAGAATAGCATATTGAAACAAATTCAAGTCATAATACAATATATCTATAATAAAAATGGATTCTAAATACAAATTTCTTTTAAGGTTTGTCAATACTATAGTCATCAAGTTGTTTGTAGCTTGTTCTAGCTAGTCTTCATGATTAAGTGTCTTTAAAACCTTCCAACATAATCGATTGGCTATGCTATTATAAACCATTGAATTACAATTGTAGCTTAGATTTAATCTTAATTTATTATCTAATCTTTGAAAACACATCATAATAAATAGAAGGAGTGTAGATGAGCCATTGAGGCATGTAGATTGGAAGGTTAAATAACCTAATTAATATGTCTTTTTTAAATACAATACCTAATCCATAGTACAAGTCTAATGAAATATATTATATAAATTAAGTAATCTTTTTTTATAAGATATTTAAATAAAAACTATAATTTCGAATAAATCCATAGATGGTATTATCAATCTAAGAAAATTTCTATTTTATAACAAAATTGAAGTTTATAAATACCACATGTGATAGGAACTAATCGGCCTTAGAATGCATATTTAGATCAATACAAATGAAAGATGTGGAATGAGGTTGATTTAAAGGTGGCTTCAAAATCTCCCTAAAAATTTGATAAGTCATAATATTATAATAATCTATACCTTTTTTATATCAAATATCATTCAAATAGAAAGTTACAACTTTGTCAATTAAATCTTCTGAGATTGAAAAACCAATTGTGTCAATTCTTCATGGAGACAAGGCTCTTTGCAAAAATAGATGACAAAGCTTGATGTAAATGAACCAAGCATGCCATCAAACTTACTTATACATTATTTTGTATGGATTTGATTAGGAAAACAAGCAACTATATTATTATTTGGAACCATTCACTTTGGTTTTGTGATTGATGGTTTTAATAGTGTATTTGAATCATATTTGAGATTTAGTATGATTTGGATTCTAATCCTAATCTAATTTTTAATAATTAAGTAACCTTAGCAAAGTCAACATCAAGATATCTAAATGTTGTACTTCAACAACCTTTTCTCCTAAGCATTAGAATAGTCCAATTATAAAGCCAGTTGTCAAGGCTACCAACCTTTTCTATTCTATCTCAAGCAACTTCTTTGATACTTGTACAACTCAATCTATATAAAGCTATTCCAGGTGGAATTTTATTTCTTAGTTTTAAAAAAAATTTAATGAATGACTTTTTAGAAATAATCATATTATTTCAAAAATTGATTTAGATATATAATGGCTATTCTAAGATTTAGCATACCTTAGAAATCTTATTATTATAGCTATCTTTTTCAAATATAAGATATTAATATCTAATAATAATCTCTCCTTGAATAAATTATATAAACTTGTATATCTAGGTCAGATTAATATTTTTTGTGACACAAGATACAAACTAGTCTATATTAAAATAAAGAGTCAAAAAACTAGCCAAA